TTGTTAATAAGCGTCCACCAAAATAACAGTATCACTGATGTTATTATTATTGTTAGTAGTAGTAGTAGTAGACAAATAGTAGTAGTAATACAAGTTTGTATTGCTATCATTATCACACCATCATTATTCTTACCTCTATTACCACCAGCATTAGAAAGGAGGGGGACTAAAGTTGTAAACAAACAGGAAGCGGGGTAGTGTTTACTTGATATAATGGAGGAGACAAGTGGCGGTATGGAGGTCCTCACTTCCTTTTCTTGTTTGTACTTATATTATTATTATATAGTTATTGTCATTGTTTTTATTTTTATTTATTATTATTATTAGTAGTAGTAGTATTATTATTATTTACTTCCTGAGCACGGCAATTTACATTCCGATCACAATACAGTAATTCACCTTGGCTACGATGATTTACCTCAAGTACGATAACTTTCGTTACGATGGCTTGGACTTGAGTCCCCGCGGGAGGGAGATGCAGGGGAAAGGTGGGCGTGCGAGGTCGAAGGTTAGTGATCTCCGGGAGCACTGACAATGGTGGTTGGTGGTGCAGGTAGGGGTTACAGCGGTAAATATCAAATTACAGAGTTTGTACTATGGATTTTCCTCGTAGCTGAACGTGTAATAAGGTCACAACTATCTGGTTGATTAAACTTCACAAAATCACCCGAAAATAACATTAAAATTACAGAGATTATACTGCACCTTATCTTTGTCTCCTACCTAGTGTTAAGTGAAGGTATCTCGTCAGACAGCATAATTTTGATGCTATTTCTAAGCGCTGCTTTTGTGCTTTAGCTTAAATTGACCAGTCAGGTGCATTCTACAACTTTAGTTAATTAAGAGGAATTCATATCATCCGAACCTCTGTGAATCCGGGAACTGGGCTCGGATTCGTAAAGAGTATTCGTGCTTTCGGTTTTCTCCCAATGACGTCATATGTGAACAAACTTACAGAATATAACCCGCGCGGTAACGGCATATGTACAGTAGATATTTTTTTTTCGCGTTCTCTGACCTGCAATATACGATAGCCTAAATCCATTTTGTAATCAGTAATATCTGTATAATATTGCATGGCATTATTTTTGTTACTGTTATTAAATTTTTGGGCCGTATGTCAATATATCAATAAACATTATTTCAAAACAACTACCAACACGAAGGAAGTACCTATGCGAAAGTGAATTTTTAATGGTCGATTATGGAAGCACCTCATCACTTGTTATGTACTATAAAACGCTCCCCAATTCCACAGGGAAAGTTGTATGATTGGTATAATAGAACCTGATAACATCATTGTGTGTGAAGTGTTATAATGAAATCGTTGTCTGTCTGACTGTATTTTTTTCTCTCGCTCTCTGTTATTCCTGCAAAAGCCGCGAACAGTGCCATGCATTCCGTACACCCTGCAATAACAAACTAGCGGAAGCTACAGTACGCCATACGAAACTGCTCTCCTGCCTTCCACTCCTCTCTCACCTACTTTCCCTTCCCTCTACTTACCTTTCCCTCTCCCTTACAATTCAGTTTTTTATGTACCTTCCCTTCCCTCCGTCTACCCCTTCTCACTGCCCCAACATGTCACGAGATAGAAAATGGGAAATACTTTCACCCCTCCCCAAACATCCGTCAGGGTTACAAGGTGTCTGCCTCCCTCAACACTCTCCTTCCTCCTCTGTTTAATCGCACCTTAATTCCCTCCTCTCTGTTGTTGTATTGTATTCTCTCCCTTTTCCATCTTTCTTGTACCACATCTAACTCTTTTTCTGTACATACTTTAGTTGTGGAAGGACGCCAAGTCACCAACACCTCTTCTTTCCCACTCTTCCTCCCTTCCTCCTCTTAAGTCTTCTCCCTCGGGTCCCTCCCTCTTTTTTTCCTCTTCTTCCCTCTCTCTCCATCTCTCTATTCTACCCTCTCCCTTCCCTTCCTCATTTTCACCTTCCTTTCCCATCCCTTCCCTTCCCTTCCTCACCTCACCTTCCACCCTTGCACAACAGCTGCCAGGTGTGAACGCCGCCACAGAAGGAGAAAGTCATCCTCTTTATGACTCGTTTTCTATCATGCGTCAGCGAAGCACTACCCACCAGCTGACTGACTGACTGACTAACTGACTAATACTATGACTTTATCAGTAGTACGCGAACGTTTGGCGTGGAATTATCAACGAGTGTTATTTTTATATTCTATTTCACGTAAACATCATAATGTATGTTGTTGGAGCTTTCTACTGTTCCTGAGTTAATAGCAAGGGTGTGCCAGGGAACAACAAACCTTTTTTTTTTCTTATTCTGTATAGACTATCAGCATGTATCATCATCGTTTGTGATTTTATTTTTTCGTGAGGGTATTGTTTAAGTCTTCTATGTCACCACGATAGTCTCTTCCTGTCATTGCGTTAACTTTGGGTGTTTACTGGTTGGAGACGCTTTTTTGGGGGGAACCAAAAACCTGTGCCTAACTCTACAATAACCTTCCCTTCTTCATTAGGTTCGTGTCTTTTCCCAAGTTTTATAAATAGAAGGATATTCATTCATTTAAAAATCGTCAAACAAATTCACAATATTTCAGTACACTCATAAACAATTATTAGTAACGACATTAACAAAGTAACAAAGAACAGACCAGCTGCCTGAACGACTCGTAAGCGGATAAGTGATGGATTGATAAAATAAAACAGCATGTTCATCCAAATCAAGGATAATCATATTGAACAGTTTCTTATCCTTTGAGATGTTTGGATTATTTCAACTTTGATCTTTAAATTATATTAATTTGGTCTTCGTGTTTTAAGTTGTTTTGTATGCTGGTGTGTCATTGTTCACCGCAGTGTTCATGCGGCGATTTCATGATTGGGTCAAATGCGCCTCCCCCCTCCTCCCCCTACCCAAGGCTTCAATTTAAACGATAAATGTTTATACGTTCATGATTTCCCCCAACTAAACATGTGAAATCGCAGCTAACGGCCTCACTTACCACGACACAAAGCTGACAAAAAATGCACTGAGACTACCGTACGTAAAGAAATTTTCTCGTCTCCAGGTAATATATCTTAAAATATATTGTCTAAAATATACTGTCTCAAAAATATACTCTCAAGTTTTATTTTGTCAGTCTAAAAATATGCTGTGTATGTAAGTTTATTTATCTGTAAACATATTTGTATTAATTTCATCACACAACGACATTAATTTATCCCGTTTATTTAATAATTTAAATGAACATACTGTAGTCACAGAACTTCGATGCCCAGGCTTTCTTAAACCCTCTCTAGGTCACCATCTCAAACTTTTACTCAACAAAAACTCGATATTTTGTGTAGAAACTTAGGGCGGCTGTGTTGAGGATATTGAACTGTGTCATTCTTAATACCCGACGAACACCCCAACTTTCACTCCCACAAGGTCGCATCTGTGAGTAAAATAATTCCCACCAGGAAACTTGCTTCGAGACTCCTCCAAAGCTTCGAAAAGTGCAGAGTTCCATGTGTTATAGGCGATATTGCTGAAAAAAGATCAGGGCAAGGTCATCGTAAATGGCGTCGTACACCCCACGACTGTTCTTGAATACGGCCTTAGTTAGTTACACATGTGTCTGTCTCCGGTTACACAAAGTTTTGAGGTTTACACAGTTAATATTTATCGTAATTGAAGATGTAAGAATGTACCTAATTGGTTGACTTAAGATAAAAACCCAATAGTATTATCCAAAAAATAACACCAGAAATACCCTGACTAGATATGTTTACTTACCAGAAGGTGGGAGACGAAAATTTAGGCATGTTAGTTTTGTTTGGTGCTTTGTGACTGTTGTTAAAACTTTGCTCAGATAATAACTATTGTGACTCCGGCCTCTGGGTAGCGATTCAAGAAATCTTATTAGTGAAAATTGTTTATTAAAAGGTTGATGATCATAATTATGAGCCCCAATCCTCAAACCTAACCTAACCTAACCAATACCTGAACGCAACCTGGGAGGGGTTAGGTTACGTTAGATTAGGTTAGCGGGTTTAACGTTAGGTGTTTAACCATAGAATGCCAGACGAACGTTTGCTCCTCATCCTTCCACTCTATAGTAATGGGCATATAAAAGCTACGCCAGGCAAACGTTCGCCTTCTGCAGTATGAGTGCAGATTTAGATATGAAAATATACGTAATTTGAGTTAGAGAGAGCTTTCAGCACACACACATACACATATTCTCTTTATCTTGAACAAATAAAAAAATAATAATAATTCAACAATGGCCCACCATCCACTACTGAATGAAACCACACAGCTCCGTCACAAACCTGTCATCTTAGACACACTTCCTCAAGAAAGTTTTCTCGTCTCCTGTGATAAAGTTTAGAAAGTTTTGAGGCGACAATACAATACGTGAGGGATATTACCTGTGATTCTGGGCGTGTGGGAGGGGGTGGAGGAAACCAGTCTCTCTCTCATTTCATTTCATCTTCACCCCCTCTCCTCCTCCACCTCATTACATCTTCATCTCCTCATAACCCCCTCCCTTCCCCTCCCCTCCCCCACCTCACCCCCTTTCATCGTCACTCTCTCACAGTCCCTCTCCCCCTCCATAACTCAGTTCACAGCAACATAACTTACGAGTGAAAGTCAAAAGACATGAGCCGAAAGCGGTGAAACTTTCGAGACTTGACCATCCGGCGCGGCACACACACACACGCATACTTTTCTCATCAAATCGAGAAAAAAATCGTTCATAACTCCAGATTTTCATTTTGTTAAAGAAGAGCAATATCTGTCCATATAAGTTCATGGGTTCGGTGTGGGAGATTTATAATTGACCGATATTGATAACTACTCAGTTACGTAGATTTTTTATTTATTTTGTAATGATTTAGGCACCATTCGTCTTCTTTGTTTATGGTGAATGTCCCAATCAAAACTGACGATTACAATGCTTATGTTATTAGCCACTTAATATATTTAAAAAAAATGTATTTCGCGAGATCAGTAGGGATCACAAGATCATTTTAGTCTCCTTCCAGATGCGGCTCCTGGCAGTATATCTCCCATTCTCTCTGGTGGTGGTCGTCGTCACGATTTCTGTCAGCGACTCTGATGAGAGGCACACAGAGCTAACATCTCGAAGTGGTTTCATTTCAGATAAAGACTTATCTCAACGGTAAGTATCTTCCTGTAATCTTAATAGTGTACTGGCCAAATGTTCAAGTTAGCTCTTGCATTTTATTTCTTATATATTTGATCCTTACCGGTATGTATCTTTTAATACATAAAATGATTATCTGGTTCAGCAACATGGACAAAATTAATTTAACATTTATCTTACTGTATTTATCTAATGGCCACCCACTAGAGGTGGCCATATCGAGGGAAGGAGGCAAGAAGGCCAGTAGCCTGTGTAGGATCCTTCCATTGTTCTAATGTTCTTAATAGTTTTGTCTGGTCTAGAGCTATATGCGGTACTGTAATCGATTCCACAGCTTGAGCTGGTAGACTTTTCTATAGGTCTACTAGCCTCTGTGTAAAGAGGTATTTCCTTATGCTCTTTTTGCATGAGAACTTTGCGAACTTGAAATTATATCCCCTTGTGTTGGTGCGCATTATGATGCAAACTGACTAAATCAAACTTTATTTATTGGTCTTTATTAATATTTTGGAGTAGGTTAGGTTTTTATGGTCTGCTTCTGAAGAAGTTTTCGTTTTTTCCTTATCTCCCTCTCACCAGCTTTGTGTTTTATATAAAACTAAACTGAACATAAATATTTCTTTGGTAGAGTATTGAAATCATTTGTTAATTGAATGAAAGGTTTTTCCAGTGTGAGTTTACATCTAATAAACTTAATACCTGTACTGTATTTCAGAACTCTTCGACATGTTGGCTCCACATTTAATGACATTCAGGTAAGTGAGGTCCGAATTTTATTTCAATGCGTTTATATTAATTTATTTTCAGTGATTCAATTGCTTCCTATTTGTACAGTCACATCTCAGATTTTCATTTTAACATCTTGGTAGTGTTTATGAATCTCATATTAAATTGTTGACCATCAAACCTGATGCACGTAAAAAAAATTGAATATGTCATTGTGTAATTGAAATTTTTTGTATCTGCGAAAATAGTACGGGCTGTTAATAGCCAAACATGTTACAGTTTATGGAGTCAGAAACCTTTGTTCTTAAGTGTTTTATCAGTGTTTAAACGTTTACGTCTTTATACCCCATGTACAAATATAACCTTAGGAAGATATTCATCTTATTATATAGTCTAGCTATTTTATAAATACTGTACGTATAAGTTCCCTATTTCAAGATATTGTCAACTCAAGTACTTTTTTGTTTGTAAAATATTGAACAAGGAGAGAACAGAAGTGTAAAATCCATATTTATTCATTGAGTCGTCCCCCACCAAGTACTGTACAGTACTGTACATCATCTACTTTACAACACATGTTACGACGATGTTTTCCTTCATATCCTCATAATAAATTGACATCTTTTTCTCACAGGCTGACCCAATGTTGTTTAACATCGCTAATCGGATGAGAAACGGTGTTTCCAATGTGATGTAGTGTTTCTTGCAAAAATACCTAAGGGGTCACATCAGAGTTGTGACAATACTGTTTCCTAGGATATATGTGTGTGTGTGTGTGTGTGTGTGTGTGTGTGTGTGTGTGTGTGTGTGTGTGTGTGTGTGTGTGTGTGTGTGTGTGTGTGTGTGTGTGTGTGTGTGTGTGTGTGTGCGTGTGTGCGTGTGTGCGTGCGTGCGTGCCCTGTATAAAGATGTTCATATTATTTTATATGCCTACAAATCAAAATGTGATATGAATACTTCATGAATTTGTGACTTTGCCACTGCCTATACCTGTGATATTGTTGCTCCACAGGAGGGATCCCCAGCCACCACGCCGTCCACAACCACCACCACCCAACCCCAGGACACAACACATCATCCACCATCATTCAGCACACCGGTTAGTACTGGTGTCATAGCTATGTCTAGTGTACAGCCTGTCTTGTCATTGCTGTTTTTACTTTACTTTTATCCTCTTCGCCACTGATCGGCTCATTAGCCACTTGGGCGGTCGGTCACGTCTCCGTTATGCACTGTTGGCAGATACTGGGCATGCACTGGCTCCTGAACATATCTGAACCTGCTTCAATGTTGGTAAAGTCTGGTCTTGAATGGGCTCACACTCGGTGCCGTCACATCGCTCTCTGGCAGGTTGTTCCAAAAGTTGAAAATTCTCACTCCGAAAAGGTTTGGTCTCACAGTCTTCTGGATTTGTGTCTTCTTCAACCTTGAGCTGTGACCCCTTGTCGGGCGGACGTCTGCCAGCTCCAGGTATGTACATTTGATCGAGTAGTGCCCTTTGAGATGTTTATACATTTCAATTACATCGGTAGCTAGGTAGTTGCAGGCGTTCTAATCTCTCTGGGTAACTGAGGTTCCATAGAGCAGGCACCAGTCTGGCGGCCCTCCTTTGGACATTTTCAATTAATTGACAGTCTCTAGCATGCTTCAGAGACCAGGCGAGGTGACAGTACTCCAGACGGGGGACTCACCTCACTCTTGAAGAGCGTGACGAGCGACGGACCATCCAGATGTCTAAACGACCTTCTTATAAGTGGACAAAATAACCTTAAACTTGTCTTTGCTGAGATCTGGACTAAATGTTATTAGTATTGTACTGTACTGCATACTGATTGATATGTTGTAACATTAAAATCTGCTTAATAATCAATAAAATTTGTCCTTAATGGTATTTGTACAAAAATCAGTTGTAAGTATATAGTACAGTATATTAATTGGTATACTTCTACTATAACACTACACTGTGTATAGAGTAGCATGTAAATTAGACATACATTACTGCATACCATACTGTAATTTGTATTGATATTAATCTTATGATTAAATTAAACAGATTTTAGGTCAATCTGCTGAGGGTACGTTGAGTTCCTCTTTAGGGACTAGACATAAAATTTGCCTTAGTACGATGTGCTGTTGTCTAAGTAAGTACATTAGTATGTGTGTGGTGCATTATGACCATTTTTATGCATATTGATGAAACTGCTTATCTCACTTCTTGGAGTTAAACAGAAGTTTACAGTTGAACATCGGCATCATGTATGCCTCTCACTATTGTGTCCTGGGTTCAATCCAGAATCAGATGTTAAAATGATGCCTTGTATGACCCTACTGAATTTTGCATGTTTTCGCTGGACACTCAGGTGTCCTCCTGTTGTAACACTAGTCTCAAAGAAGAGGCTTTCACTAGCCCTCTTGGAAGACCCGTTACCATAGTTGTAAGGTTAAGGTATATTTCACAGACATGAAATATATATTGTACATATACTGTACGATACTTTAGAAGCAGGTTATTGGTCAATGAGGATGAATTGTCTTACATGTCACGTCAAGATTCAAAATGGTTGATGCACTAATGGGAATAGAAAATGATGCCAAATAAGTAGTATTCCTTTATAAAGTTGAAAAGTTTAACACTACCCTGTATATGGTTCTAATAACTTAACCAGTCCTGTTTAAAACATGTTACCCAAAAGTTATTATTCTGAAATAATAGTTGATTTACATTCATCATACCTTTACATTTCTAATTTAATGAATACAGATAATTGAAAATTTTTAAATTTATGCATGGGAATTATGAGACTCATTTCTTGTGCCTTTCATGAGAACTGTAATACAATATTCCTTTATACCTCATACCCATATAATCTTTCCTAACACTCACCTAACTTACAGGAAATAGACCGAGCAGACAACCTTTCCTTCTTCCTGGATGATACACCTGATGAAGACGAAAACTTTCTGACAGAGTTGGAGAACTATTCTCTTGAGTACAAGCCATCCAAGGACCAGGTGGATAGGGAGGTTTGGTTAGGTTCACCTATAGATCGTCAACACCACAACCGAGGTAGACGTCCAAATTTCACTCTGTTCCAGGACCCATCTCAGCCTGGTGGACCAAGAAGACAATCTCTACGTTTTCAACAGCAGCTGCATCAGCACCAACAACAACACGAGGAGCAGGAGCTTAGGAGGCAGCTGAAAGAACAGCTTCGAGAGCAATTGGAGCAGCAGCCTCGTGAGCAGTTCACACCACCCACACACCCAGATATCAGCCTCATTCCTTTACAGGCCGTGGAGGTGAGACAGGCTATGGTACATCGATACTGTAATACCAGTTTCTTCCTCAATTATTTTATTAATTCAGTAGCTAAAGCAGATGGGCCATGATACAGTGATATAATAATGCAGATGTGTCCCACAAATTGTATGCCTTAATTACAGTAACAAGGTTAGTAGAGTGCAGTAATCATTATAATAAAGTTATTATGTACACTATAGCAGTAAAAAGATACAATAATAGGGGTTATTTTGTGCAACGTGTATCAGAAACTTTATTCATGCACAAGCCTCTCAACCATCTACTACTGTATTGAGTTACCTATCTGATTTTTGCCTTATCTTGCAGGAAGACAATGGAGGTAATGGTGTAATGGGGGAGAAGTTCCCTCCCTACACTGAAGTCTTTCCTCCCTTCCCTCCACATGCTCTTCCTGCCTCCACGCCATCCCCTGTCCCTCAAGCTCCCCCAAAGCGCCATATTTCTCAAGCCATACAAGCTCCTTCAAGGCCCCAGGTCTTCCAAAGTCAGCAGGGTACTCAAAGACCACAGATTCCCCAGCCACAACAAGTTTTCCAACAACCTCTAAATTCGCACCTTTTCAAAGTTCAACAGGATACCCAAAGTTTCCAGAATCCACAAATTTCTCAGGCTCCTCCAAATCACCGTCTCCAAGTTTCCCAACATCCACAAAGTGTCCAACATCCTCCTAGTCCCCAGATTCTTCAAGCTCCACAGAGACTCCAAGCCCCTCCAAAATCTCAGATCTCCCAAGCTCCACGTGATCCCCAGGCTCTGCGACTTCTGGGGGAATTTCGACCTCCGCAAGCTCTCTCAGATGCACCCCAGGAATTTCAGACTGCTCAAGCTCCCCAGGCTGTGCTAGCTCATCACATCTCTCCACCTCTCCTGAGTCTCCAGGCTCCACAGACGCCTCAAGCTCTTCAGGTGATCCCAGCACCCAAGATCCCTCCCCTATTCTTTGGCTCACAAGGGGCTCACTCTGTCCAGGTGACCCATATTCACCCAGCACCTCAAGTAAACCACATTACTCAAGTTACAAAAGTGCTCAAACCTTTTTCTGGTTCACAAGGGGAAATTCACATTACTCCAGCCACAAAGGTTTCCCAAAGTGTATTTGAATCTCAAGTGTCCCAACTTGCTCCAATCCAACAGATAGTCCATCTTGCCCCATCCCTTCAGGTGTTCCAGAATGTTCAAGAACCCCAAGTGCCCCAGACTATTACATCTGCACATGCACAACAGAGTGTTCCAGGAATACAGGTGCCCCAGATTGCCTCACTACAACGGGTTCAGCAAGGTGCCCCAGAACTAGAAGTGCTCCAACTTAGCCCTGCCCCACAGACACCCCAAATTATCCCACCTGCACAAATTCAGCAAATTGTAACCCCTACACAGATTCAGCCTATTGCTGCACCCACACCAATTCAACAAATTGCCACAGACCAACATGTGCCCCAAACTTTCCCCACCAAGGAGGTATTTCAGGTTTTCCATGAAGCACAGATATTCCCAGTTACCCCAGCCCCACATGTTCCCCAGACTGCCTCAGTGCTACATGTAACTGAAATTTCCCCTGCCCTTCAGGTGTCCCCAGGGGTCCAAGAAGCACAGGTACCTGATAATACTCAGGTGACACCCAGACCCAGGCTTCCTGTGGACTTCAATGAACCTAACCTTCCCACGGGGGGCCCCGAAGTCAAGTTCCCTACAGGCGCTCATGGACCAAGGTTTCCTACAGGCCCCCATGGACCCAGGTTCCCAACAGGCCCCCACACTTCCAGGATACCCCAAGGCCATAGGGCACCCCCTAGACGGCCACACCCAGGAGGTGGTCCTCCCCAGAGAGTGACAGGCAGAAGACCTCCCCAACGACCATTGGTGAGATGATTTTTGTATGTCACTGTGTCTCTCTATCTGGTTAATGTTATCTTTGTTTGCATATTACTAAATAGCAGCTCAATATGACTGATAATGATTGCGTGTATGTCTAAGATAATTTATATTTACTGTATACAATGGGTTCTTGTTATTCCTAAGGGTTCTATTCTTAAAAGTCCATATACAGTACTGTATAATGACTACAGTATACGAAAAACAAAGTAATTTTTCCCATATAAGTCAATATAATACATGGGATTCGGTTTCTAGCTGGTCAGGTTGGGTTATATGTGTTGGTTAGTCTGTAATAAAAAAACACAAAGATACACTCAATATATAAGTTGTTATTGGATATGGTCATTATATTGGATCGTATGTAAACAGTGTATCATATATTATAAACTGTAGTAAATGTCTGGATTTAATGGACTAACGGCATTAATGGACATCCCTTCTCTTTTATTATTTCATGAAAATTTTCCTGTAGTACTGTACAGTATTTGTAAAGATATAACTAAGTATGGCATACAAATAACAAACTTTTGGTGGTAAAAACTTTTATACGTATAACTGTATAGCAATTGTACAAATAACGAGGACACTGTGGAGTGTCACATACCGGTAGTTCCACTTACTGACACATTCTTTCCCAGATATCTGGAACACACACACACACACACACACACACACACACACACACACACACATAATCCATCTCTACTTACGTACATAATCCATCTCTACTCAGGCACCACCAGTTCGGGACCTCACCCACCCTGAAAGGCCGCGACCAACACCACCCAGACCAGGGCTGCGACAGGCACGGGGACGAGCCAATCTGCTGCCAAACAGACCTTCCTCTTCTCATACCCGTGTCCACTCATCCCCCTTGTCTACAGGTGATGTGCTAACTCATAGGATGGATAAGGGTCACATGGAGGTGAAGAGTAATGTTTCAACTCCTAACAAGAATGAGATTCAAGTGGGAGCACATGACATTAGCTTCCCCTCTACTTATTCAATCCCAGATTTAAACGCTAATATCCCAGAGAGATCAGATTCATTAAAGGTTTCTCTAGGAAATAAAAACAATATTCAAAAGGACCCAACAAGACGCCTCCAGCAGGGAGGCATGAAAGGTAGGCGTCCAGGTGTTGTAGAAGTGTTGAGGAAAAAACTTCCGCAGTCTCTGAATCTGAGTGAAACGGGACATACCGTTCAGAAGAGGCTGAGGAAGCTGGTAGGGAGTGCAGCGACAAGGGCCTCCCTAATGGGTAAGGTCACTGGGGAAGTGCTGGGGGCTGGTGTGGTGGCTGTTGGACATGCTAAGGATGCACTTATCCAGGTGAGATGAATAAATTGATGTTTCATTCAACTCGCATCCTAGTGTTTGTCTTATTGCATGTCTTAGCATTTGTCATACTGCGTATCCTAGCATGTGTTGTGCTGCAAGTATTATCTTACTGCATGTCCTAGCAAGTGTTGTACTGCATGCACTAGCATTTTTACTTTTACTTAGCATTTGTCTTACTGCATTCGTGGTAGGTTTTATGACTTACTGATTATCTCACACACACACACCTCATCCCATACTATATGCACCAGACACAAACCTTAAGATAAATTTGCCAGTGTGGAACACTTCCCTCATGAGGGAGGTTCTTCCTTCCCATAAACCAAAGTCTCAGTCCTTACCTGGTCATCCTTAAGGTAATAGAAAGAACCATGCACATGAAACTTATCTTTCACACTGAGAAACATAAATTAATCTTGGACACATAGTCTGTATTTATGTCTAGATCATTGCACTGCAGCTCTCTATCTATAATCACTCACAGCTTATACTGTTGTACTTTGGTCTAGATAATCTTGATGATTGAATGAAGTTACAGTAATTATTAAGATCAGGATCATCTCATCAAATGTCCTTTATTTGGTTGTCTGTATTTTGCTTATTTAGTCTATTCTTTTTTTTCCACCTACAATGTATTTTTTGGTTCAGATAACTATCAACAACCACTTTCCAGTTACCTCAAGGGTACCCTGCAAGTCAAATTTTGTTCCAACTACTTTTCTTTTATGCATCAATGACCTGCTAGTACCCAAAATCATATGAGTTCTCAATGGGAAATAACATACCGGTAATTAGATTGATTTATAAATGAAAATCCCAGCACCACAGTTATGAATTCTTTGTACAGTATTTAAAAATGAAACTGGTAGATGAACTGGAAATATATTTAATTAATGAATAACTGGGTATCCCTCTTTTGAGAGCCTGGCCCACCCCTCTTCCTGTGAATTGCTTGTTCTGGTTACAGTATTTTAAAGTAGGTGGATCATACTTCAAGCCTCAGCACCTCGTTTCAACACTCTTCTGTTGTTTTGTTCAGCACAAGAGGAATGTATCTTATTTTTTTATATTTAGTGTATTTAATGAATTTTGATATTTATAATGTTACACTACCAGTAAGCCTGTAAATACACACACACACACACACACACACACACACACATACACACACACACACATACACACACACACACTTAAACATTACACCTAAATTTACCTACGAATGTGTAAATGTTTGGAAAGAACACACTTTTTGCATCCCCTTCTCATTTGTTATGATAGAAGAATTTACAAGACATGTTTATCTACATAACTGTGTTAAAATCTTGCCTAATAGAATGAGTAGTTGTGATGTCATTAGTGATGTTGTTACAACTTGTAGTGACACCATCACAAGTCACTTGCCGCTGAGATAAATCTTTTAGTCTGATGTCAGGATGTAATTTTCTGAGTGGTCCATCACTGGCTGGTATCTGCAAGGATGATGTCATAGAGTACCAAAGTTAACAGAGATGACATCACTACCAGTACATCAGATGTGGGGATCATATTTTTAAGAATTACTTGTTGTATTATTTAAAGGTTGGTCTTAATCCGTCCAGCTCAATACACACCTGAATTAATATCATTACACATCCCTCTAAAGTTTCCAGCAGTAATAAATTTTACATAAGAAAAAAATTGTTTGATCAGATAATTTTATAAAATTCTGTTGCGCTGTGAATCACTTACTTGGAACTGATCAGCCATTCACCACTACGCATGTTATTTTCATGAATATGACCACCTTTTATTCCTCTAAATTTTTTGTCAGCATGACTGATTTTATTAAAATTATAATTCATTGGCTTCTTGGATCAATTTGCTTACTAACTCTATTGTAAATTTGCAGAAATCCTTGGTTTCCCATAAGGCTAGGTGCAAAACCCCATACATAAACCTAACCACATCCAGTACATAACCTCACCTAAGAAAGTACTTCCTTTATAACCCAGCCTTTTTTCACCTTTACCTAACCTAACCTAATCCTTGATGGAAAGTTTGTATATTTTTGTACCTAGCCTTGCGACAAACTACTGTACTAACCCGCTTGCTGTTTTGAATTCTGCATTGTGGACAGGCGATGTCTAAACCAGTTGGTAGTCCTAGGGCCTATGAGACTCACACCTACGCCAGTGGCCTCCAGCTCACCGTTCCCCATGAAGACCACGTCAAGCACCACAGGGTAGGTTGTTGTTGAAGAGGTACTTTTTCATGTTGGTCCTCATTGGGTAACCCTTCATCTCATCAGGCAGGTCTTTGCCAGGTAGGTAATTTTATTAGTAGGTCCTCATCACGTTAAGTTGTAGTTAAGGTAGGCTCTTGTCAGGGTCCTCACTAGATCACAGAGGTTAGTTGTGTCCTGGGACAAAGCAAACCTGCAGTTGATTGTCATGTGTCATAAGTGTTAAAAAATTATATAAGGTTGAAATTGTTAAATTGAGAAGCTTGGTTCAGTATTTATTCCACCCTGATGGACTTGTGTCATGATTTGTTGTCTGTCATTATGTGGCCATCTGTTATCTCTCATTAGTTAGACATGATCACTTATTTGGCCACAAACCCTTCCCTTGGATGGTCCTCTTTCAAATTTGTGTCTAGTACGGGTATCTGCTATCCCTGGGCCTCATCTTTTGTCTTGAATAAGAGTACAGTACTTCTTGTCTACATTAAGCTGATTTACTAAATGCATGATATAACTTATGATCTACACAGAAAATTTAAAGATGGAGACGAAAGAGTTTTTGTGGTTAAGTGAAAATACAAACTTGTGTACAAGATTAATAGAAATTTAAACTTCTTATAGGTTACCTGTCCTAATGCCTGCCATGCACTAGTTGTGAAAGTCAATCTGAAAAATCTCTGCAGCTTCACATCACCCATTGTTTAAACAGGTTCATGGTGTAGGTTTCTAATGATTTTCAATATTGTTATTTGTATTAGTGTGTAATCATTGTTTTCTTCCAGCATTGTGTTAAGCGTGATATATCTCCTTAGATAATTACTGTATAAGGTCTGCATCTTGATTTCATGCTGAGCCACACAGAGTAAAGGCTGGATAGACTTGGGAGATCTGTAGAATTTGGTAAAAAATGCAATTAGTGGATAATGGAGATGATTTCAGGTTAATGTGTGGTCATACATGAATGGCTTGATATGCTTTAATAATACTATTAGCCAAACTACTGTACTATGCGATCATTAGGAAAGAAAATTTGTTCTTTATTTTTCTTTGGGGGATGATGCTGTTATAAAGTAATTATGAGAATCCATTTTTTAATAATTGGCTGCAGACTAACTTAGATTGGTTAGCATGATGTTTTTCACTCAGGCGTGTTGTACTTCTGTTGTAAACTTACTGTACGGTATTGACATTTAGATATTTCTCATTGTTAGCTGTGTACTGCAGTTTGTAGGAATTTGTTAACATATATATATACTTTTTGCAGTTTGGCGTGCGTTTCAATTGGTCTTCGACCCCTCCAGGAGGTCTGCTTCCCGTAGTCGGCATGGGCATTGACTCTAACGTGATGACCAAGTCTCTCCCTTCTGGCAGTTATGTGCCCCCTGCTTTGCTAGGCCCCTACACCCACTCTGACAGTTACCATTTCAATCCCCTCACCTACAATAATCATCCACCCAACTACCATGGGTCTCCTCCTTTCCACCAAGGGGGCCCTCCACATCCACCTATCCACCATGGAGGTCCTCATCTTCCACCCAACTACCATGGGTCTCCTCCTTTCCACCAGAGGGGCCCTCCACACCCACCTATCCACCACGGAGGTCCTCCTCTTCCACCCAACCACCAAGGGTCTCCTTTCCACCAAGGGGGTCCTCCACACCCACCTATCCACCATGGAGGTCCTCCTCTTCCACCCAACCACCAAGGGTCTCCTTTCCACCAAGGGGGTCCTCCACACCATGGAGGTCTTCTGCATCCACCCATCCACCAGGGGGGCCCTCCCTATCCTCCTATCCATGAAGGAAATCGTCGACATCCACCTGTCCATCATGGGGGTCGTCTACACTCATCTTTTCACCAAGGTAGACCAGCCAATCTGCCTATAATCAACAAAGACCACTTACCGAATGTCAACAATGGCCGCCTCGAATCCACTGATCATGGTGACAATAGCTTTACTGACAACCCATACTTCACCTCACATCAGGAGGAAGATCTGGAGTACCTACCAGACCTTGGCCATGACTACCCAGGTAAAACTGGCCAATTTCACCGTTCCAGTTCCAATAGACCTTGTTGGAATGGTAGATGGGTTCGTCCTCCTGTCACTCAGGTCTTTCAATATGGTCCTCATTCCTACCCTCCTTGTGCTCCAAGGACTCACATCCCCCCCCATCACCGACCTAGACTAAGCCATAATCGTAACAACCCCCATCACCACCAAAACAACAACAAACACAATAACCAATTCCAAAATAACACCCACAACACCCTTAATCAAGATTATCCAAAACAAGTCAAAGATATCAAAGATATCATAAAATATCCTTCACATCCTAGAGACCAAAGATCAAAAGATGATCCAAAAAATGAATCGGTTTTCTTGAACTTAAGACCAGATGGAATAGACATCGAGGCTGAGTTGAATCCCTACAGAAGTATGGATGAATTGAGACGAGCCATCTCTCAGAAAGAGGAGGAATTTACCATCCTTGATATCATTAGCCGAGAGAACCAAGAGCTTTACTTTGACCAAGTTATTATTACTGGCGGTGACGAAGAACACAAATTTTAAAAAACAATTCTCCTCATGTTGATGTAACCACACACACATGTTGCCACTTTAAAAAACCGTTACTTACATAACTGAAAAGACATTGGGGTTGAACCTTAAAGAATAAGTCTTCTGTATTCCTTACGTGTTGTAAGAGGTAACTTAGAAGGTGCAAGAATATGCTCTGAGATTCTTGACCATGCACCTCTTCAACCTCAGTAAGCTAGATATGGTAGATATTGGTAATTTCCCTCTTCACCTGCTCACTCTTAATTATTATTGTCGAACATTTCTCGTACAGTACTCTGTTCATACTCTCATAATGTGTAAATTTCCCATTTTACATATTTCCATAAGCTCAGCAAAGTTCTTCTCGTCTTACTTGACTCTAGTCTTACTTATAGTACTCTTGTGTTTGTTGGAAGGTTTAGTTGGAAGGAAGGATGAATGGTGCAGAATGTCTTCGAGCAGTGGTTCTTAACCTCTTGAAATCCAAATAAACAAACTCAGTACAAATGTAATATTTATAGAAGTTCAATTTTATTTCATCTGGAATTAATGGGAGGGTTGGCATTGCTTCTTCTCCACAAGCAATTCAATTCTTGGTGAGATTGAAGAGGATACTGCATGTCATTTTCAACAATCAACCTGCTTTGACACTTAGTTTTCACTGTAACAAACCTGCCTCACAAAGGTAGGCGGAAGAAAAAAGAACACTCACTTGCAGTGCAATACTAAATGTATTTAAGATTTAGTTTAATGAATGGCAAATTTTCCTTGCCCTACACTGCCATGCCATTATTTTTTTTTAAATACTGTACGTACAAAATTATTTCAATGAAAATACATTACTACTGTATACTGTATTTAGTCTGAGTCAGAAGAATGTTCAATCCTTTGCGTCCCCTGAAAATTTGAAACACCCCTCAGGTTAAGAACCATTGTGTTAGAATATCGTACATATATTTTATTTTCTGTGTTGATCCTCCTTGTAATTAATTTTTTACTTACTCTGGTGTGTCATGGAATATTCAGTCACGATATACAGGTATACATCTCTTGGTCTGTTACTGAAACGTTTAGTAAAAATAAGCTATCATTTATTTCTGTAATTTCGTACAGAAGTTAAACAGTCTCCTATTTTTTACGTCATCCTCTCTTACCATTTGCTGATCTCTTTATCAGTGAGTAAGAAATTTAGTAAAAAATACCAAATAGTATAGTAATGAGTGTAACGTTGTGGGAAATTATCATAAGTGACAGATTGAGAGCATGACTATTGAAAGATGTATTGTTCATGATTTCATTGAGCTTTATTGTATTTTTGATGACCTGCAACAGGTACAAAATTCGTTGTTGACTTATTGTTTTATTTTGTTGAGTTGGTCATGGGAATTCCATGGGTGTGTTGAATTGTTCTGTTTATACCCATGTACAACACTTAGTTAAATATGTGTCGGACATTTCATAGCGGAATCGTTACAAGATAATAATACAGATGAAAAATTACAAGTTCCAATCAAATTTCATGAAGCTTAAGTCAAACTTTGACGATAAATAAGTTCGACCATTGCAATACCTGTACAATGGGCTTCAAAGTTAGCATGATACTGTTTTTAGAACTTGTGTATGTATATGTGTGAACCTAAAAACCAACTTTATGCCAACTTTAAACCTCGTGGACTGGCTTTTAATTAAACATGCAAAAATTCATGGGTTTCAAATGTGGCAGGCCACTAGGCACACTATAAATATCTTCTCTGTGCACATATACACACTCCAAGGCATTTGAAACCCTAATAAGGCTTCTTAGATATTCATTTTGTTATAATTTCATAAATCCCTCTGAGAACTTTCATATTACCGTATTTTCAGTATTTATTAAAAGAATACCGTATTTACAGGGTATATGTGATTTTTTTTCTTTATAAAAAAAATTATAAGTGCTGTAAATCATCAATACTGTACAGTATTAGATTTAGAAAAAGCCCAAATAAACGTTTTTGTACAGGATTTTAAAAGAGTATTAAATAATGCTTTATTTAATGTAATGTTTGTTAGTTATGTGTTGCAATGGTTCATACTATCACATGCTGACCTTTATACAGGTCACAAATGAATATCATTTGTTTAGGATGATTTATGTTGTTACTTGTTTCCCACAGTACAGTACTGTAGTGGTCTTTTTAAACAAGCTTAAATCAAATGGTTTAATAGCCGGTTTACGTTTTATATATACTGTACAGTACAGTATTATAACTTCCATAAGGCTGAGCTTTATAAATGGTAACATTATTGAATGGTTCCTACAGGTATTCATATGTTATTTACAAAATAAAGTATGGCAACATTACCTGTCAGAGTATGCCCACATACTGTACTCTTACTATACATAGATTTATATGACACACATGTACAATATATATGTATTGTACATTGTGCATACATATCCTTACACATAGCACTTACATTATACATATCATACGCTTGGTTATGCAGTACTGTATATATATATATATATATATATATATATATATATATATATATATATATATATATATATATATATATATATATATATATATATATATATATATTTATTTATATTTCATGTAGATCCACAATGGAAACGTGGACATGATAAATCTTGATAAAACCACACAGAAAGTGTTGTGACTGCACTGAGTGTGAGCTCTTTCAAGATCAGACTTTACCAACACTGAAGCAGGTTCAGATACATTCAGAAGCCAGTACTTGCCAACAGTGCATAACAGAGACGTGACCGACCGCCCAAGCGGCTAACGAGCCGATCAGTGGTGAAGAGGATAAAAGTAAAAAGCCCCTTGTGTTTCCCTCTTCCTGTGTTGTTTAATGAAGATATATATATATATATATATATATATATATATATATATATATATATATATATATATATATATATATATACATTTTCACATTCACAGACAAATGTTTCCTTTATTGTGAAGGATTAATGAACCAAATTTGATGCATATTTTGTTAAATGTTATAGGTTATTCCACATGTTTTTATTGTCCATTATTTGTTATTAAAGTTGTGAAGATGCAGTATAAGAATTTTATTTTCTTATGCAAGTAAATCACTGTAGGTGCGCGTGATCTAGGTATATGCTGATAACCACAAGGAAAGAAGAAAACACTGGTGACATCACCCTATAATTATATATATATATATATATATATATATATATATATATATATATATATATATATATATATATATATATATATATATTAATATTATATATATATATATATATATATATATATATATATATACATATATATATATATATATATATATATATATATATATATATATATATATATATATATATATATATATATATATATATATATATATATATATATATATATATATATATATATATATATATATATATATATATATATATGTATGTGTGTGTGTGAACTACACTTGCGGGGGGTGAGGCGGGTTAGTGCACGTCTGAATGAGTGTGGCTGCAGCAGTGACAGTCGGTCTCGGTCGAGCATCCGAAAAATGTGGTGGTGTTTACTTTTTTGAGAAGTGAATGTGTGTATCATTACCACAATCCCAACTGGAAAACGCACCATTCAATTTTGCTGTCTACCGTAACAAGAAAGACTGACGAGCAGCGAGGTATGAAAAACCGAATGTCAGATGGTGCCAGAACGAAGAAACAGGGAAGAGGCTATTGGATTACCCTGTACCTGGCCAGACGTGGTGAGCGTTGTTACCGTGTTTAACTTGTTGATGGAGTGTTAACGTGCGTGGGACAACGTAGACTTGTGGGTTCCCGGGTTTAATGTATATCTTAGTAATTTTGGCAAGGGTATAAATGTAATGCCAATAACTTTTTATCACTCCCAAGAGTACATTACACAGCAGATGTAAATAAAAACTCAACGTTTGTACAGTATTAGGTAATGGCTGACTAACCCACTTAACAATTCATCTTCCGCTACTCGTGTAATGTATGTTATTTTGAACAAAAGGTAAATCGGAGGAAAGTGGCAAGGTTTCTAAGATCAGGTCCAATGATTTTTATTGGCGCGGCGCCCTGTTTGGCACTTGTAATATTAACAAACCCTGTATGTAATTGCCCGGAGCTTGAGAACAATAGGTTGAGAGATTATTTGTCCGTCGGCAGAAATTGCATCGTTGCCTTACACGTTTTATTTTGGATTTAGGTTTATTGTCTCGATAATATTCTTAGAATCAGCAACACATCATTACTGTTTAATTCCCCCTATTGTTTGAGAAGTTTAATAATTGAAATATATAAATAAAAAAAATAAAAACAAGTCTCCATAAGCCTAATGTGTACCGCAGTGAATTGTGGGCGTTTACCACAGACAGGCTGACAGACTTTAAAATATCAATTGTACCCTGGCGGGTTTAATTTGGATATACTGTAATTGTAATCAACGGGTATAATCAGTCTTGTCAGTAATATCTTGGTACATTCTAAATCATTTCCAAGGGAAGGCAAGACCTTTATTGTCTTAACTTTTCTCGCCACTTGAATGTTACTATATTTTTATGGGCATAGCATATATTTATCAAGGTTTTAGACAGTCATAATTATAACCAAATTTAACTCCACGATTAGCACCATCACACCATGGAAATTGTAACATTAATTTTGTGCTTCATAATTATTTTTTTGCATTTATTGATATTCATAATCAACCTTTCCGAAGCTGAATAGAAATTTAGGGTAACTTTTGTCAGTGTTATTCAGTTTGGTGACCACACGGTTTTACCAAGGTCCCCTAGTGGTTAACCTTTGACGAGCCCCAATGGACACGTTATGAGTGGGAAGTGCGCGTAAGGATATATGTTATTCACAGACAAAAATAACATCGTGGAAAGCACTCTATATACGCTTTATTTAAGTAATGTATACAGAGCGCCAAAGAACACGTTATTCAGTAGGGTTAACAGGGCGAAAGGACACGCTACATACAAAAACACACGTAATTCATGGGATAAAGGCATGCAAAAGGAAATGTTATTCATTGGGAAAAGACACTGGAAAGGACGTTGATTTATTAGGTAAAGAACTATAGCACAGGTTATTTGGTGATAATGAATGTCTCTAATTTGTTTATTAGAATAAGGACAAATAACCTAAATCTATTGTTATTTTATACTCAGCCTTTTCACTGCGCATTTCTTATATGCTTTAAAACATACAGAATCAATTACAAAAAAAATTAAATTGCGATATAGCAACTTTCCATTAAATCGATAACAAGTTTCAGTTTTCTTAAATAATTCTTTACTAGTATTTAAGTCAAACCATAGATATAAGTGGTTATTGCGTTGTCACTAAATCATTAAACAGAATGGATAATATATGCAAGTTTTGTCTGTGGCAGATTGTCTGGAGCACCAGCTAGGCAACCCAACAAGAACTTTTGAATAAATTGGTGACGCAGCAAATATTCACCGATATCTAGGTTGGGGAATGTTGATACGTGGAGGCAAAGTTCACCAGTAGGCCTGGAGGAGGTAGACAATCCTGTGTGACCACTCAGACACTAGAATGTGCTTCCAAGGTGAACAGAGTACAGATAGCGGATTCCAAACAGAGCTTCGGCTATGCAACTCATCCTCGGCACCAAACCTTACCAAATTAAGCACGAGTGTGGTTTTACTCTCGTTCTCAGTAACTGGAGAGGGTATTGTGATGAGATGTATGTGAATGAGGGCATCAGCCCGAAAAGAATGCTTGTACCGTGTGCGACATCTTACCAGGTGCATTTATGCTAGTTCGCTCAACAGCGATCCAGTGACCTTAGGCCAGTAAGGAAATGAGGGTTTATACTTGTTATAGTACTTATACTAAGTGAGTTGTTAATTTACCATTTTCTTTCAGATGGTGATATCTGAGACTACAGCTAATAGCTTATATTAGAGTAAATTATAATAGTATTTTGTTTTAAAGGCTGTTTTGATTTTTATTATTGATTCATAGCATTAGCGTAAACTCCAGAATTACCAGTTCAAAGGGCTATCATTTACTATATTGATATATTGTACAGTACTTGATTTATCTAGTTCTTGTAGTTTAATGTACGTACAGTTATATAATGCAGTATATTAGGAACATCCATTTTTTTCCTTCCCAGAATATTTCTACATTCTTATGATATAAACTGAAAAGGTGACGGCATAGCAGTTAGATTCTCCATCTTAACTTAATTTGGTAATTTTTCTATTCATAAAATCCAGTGGTTGGGTAATAAAGATGTTCCCAATGCCACATTGTTCGATTGCAAGTATATTGCATTTCTCATTGTATTGTATTCTATATGATGATAAAATGAGATCTATTTGCAGTGATTTTTATCTACTAGTCAATAGCACTAATATATTTTTAATTTCACGTAGAGTTCGGATGGGAAGCCTATAATGCATGTTTTTAGCTAAA